ATTCCCCCCCCCACCCCGGCAGGGGGAGGGGCGGCCGCGTGGCGCTTTTGTTGCCGGCCGCAGCCCAAACCAGAGCACTCAGTTACATTCTCTTCAGAACTAATAAGCAGTTCTAAGTGTTTTCTGTTGTTTGCTTTGGTCTCTCAAGGGTGTTCTCACTGCGACACAAACACAAAGGACTGCACACACCACTTTAATATGTCTACTAGTTTACGAAAGTAGAGAAATGACAGTCGTTTTAGTGACACAGCACACTTTAAATAAATTAAAAGGCAAAGCTATGGGTAAGTTAACAAGCCACTCTGCAAATGAAAAATTCATGGTTCGGATGCATTCTGAAGACTCTGTTATCACATTATCATCCTTCTGTCCCTTAGTACTGTAAAAGATGATCCACAGACCTGTCCTCTTCCTGCCTGTTACATTAAAGTTCCTCTTAACATGCAGGCCAAGCGTAAGACAGCCCACACATGGCTGTGTTATGTTATGGAAAGTCTACCACCTAGATTCTTACATAAACCTTGAAATTGTGACCACGTGCTATTTTGAGGTGAATGCCTATACAGTCTTAATGACATATAGCAGGATAAAAAGCAATGCCGGCATGAGACAACACTCTTCAGCAAACTTGAGAAGAGAAGGGTAAGGTAGCTGTGACAAGAAACTGAAAGAGGCTTCCGAGCAGCAGTGGCACCACACTTTAGATATCCACTGTCAAACCCAAGGTCAAACATTCTTTCCTTCCTCCCTGTTGCTTTTACCTTCAGGAGTTTTGCATTGGATGTTAACAGTTTTCCTCTTTCCAAGCAAGCAGTTTTTCGTTGTGATTTGGTGAGGTCACAACAGACAACGGGTGTCTCAAGACTTTTAATCAGCACACTCTACAACATGTTATACAAAAGGATCCTCACTATACTTACGGTCTGTTGTTTCTACAACTGATGCACTACAGGAACCGAAGCTGCATCCGCCTGGAAGCTAATGAAGGTTTACAGAAGCAATACAAGAGCTAACAAGCAAAGGACTGCACTGTTCCAGAATTGGGTTCTGGCCTGCCTTTGCGAACAAGGCCTATGCTAGCGAGTGTTTTATAGTGCTGGTCCCTGACTAAGTTCAGCAGATGCCACCAAAGGACAACTACTAATGCACTTTAGATATTTTAAGGTCAATACTATTTCTCACTTTCCAAAAAGAAGCAAAGAAAAATGCTTGACATGTTTGATATGTCCTTCACCAAAGAACATGTTCCTCTGTAATTTGTAGTAGCAGTAAACACAAAAGAGAATATTAATCTAATTGTCTCTATTATCTAATAGTCTTTCACTAACTGTAATTCAATGGATATGATCCTGTAAGCTGCTGGTGCAAAGTAACTCCCAGCACTGGGAATCCCCTGCTCTTAGAGGCTTCTGACTTTAGGACATAACAGATTAAGACCACAACAACAGTACAGAAGAGGCAGCACTTGCTGAAGCAACCTAGCTTTCTCAGATGAAACTTCAGACTGACAGCAGCTCTGAGTGCAGAGAAGTACAGGACTCTTCAGTGAGCAATGAGGCTTCAATGACTTTCAATAACTTTTAAGCTCTAAGAGAGGATCACTTTTTAATGTAGGTGCCTAGGATGCGGCATCCTATGATTTCCTTTTAAAAAGGCTCACCATGTTGTATTTACCCTATGCTATAACGTTAAGCACTTTGTACAGTTTTGCTGTTTTTTCCTCCATTTCCATTCACATCCACCCTAAGGGGAAGATATATACGCATGACAACAGATATTGGTCTAGTCTAGCTGACTGTTGAAAAAAAATGAGAAAAGTGTAAAAATGTTGTCTTTATAGCTATGTATTTTTAATTATACCTCTGTTTCCCCTCTTTAGAGTGTTTGGCACAAGACCAGTCAACAAAATCACTAAGAACTAGAGACAGTGGACTTTTTGCAGGTACGCTCATTAAATCCTACCAGGTCTCAATGCAATTTCTGGCTTGTTTCCTTCTTTCACCTTAGTTTAATGTTTTTGGGACTGACATTTCACATGTTTGGTCTCCACTTCAGGTTTCAGTTATTTGTTTCTTGCTCTCCCCCCCAAATGCAAGGAAGTACCTGTCAGTGGGGTAAATAACACGACAGATATTAAAAAAAAAAAAAAAAAAAGGTCTGAACAGAGGTCTTCAGAACAAATTATATTACTACTATGTAGTATGAATAAATAGAGAAGAAATGCACAAATAATCCTGTTACAGAAATGTGCGTTTGGACAAGTGAAGCAAGAACAGATTAA